CAATATATCAGTTTCCCTTAGGAAACTCAATAACGCAAGCCATATATTCACCAAATGGGATAACGACTACGAGAAGTGGAAAAGTCCTTACATCTGGAAGATGCGTGTATGTAAAAGAGGTCTGGTTGGTTTTTTCAAGAGTGTCATCGTGAGTTGCATTAAATGCTACACACACTTTTTTTCTCCTCATTAAAGCACTCAAGCTTCCACGATTGATTGCCATTTTGACATCTCAAGGTTCAATCAAGAGAAACTTAATAAATTCCGCTATCGCCTAACTATCTAGGAAACACTTGGCTAAAAATTAAAAGACCAACTTCAATTGAGGGACTCACTTCCCATTAATAAGACAACTTTTAACTGAGGAACTCGTCTCCCATTAATAATGCCGCCTTCAGCGGGGGGATTTACTCCAAATTAAAGGATACAATAAAAATCTTCTTTAAAAATAACAAAATGACTTACTAACATGTTAACTCGCCACACACATGTTTGAAAGGGTTAATTCAGTTTTTTTATCTCATTTTTTTAAAAAAAAGGGTCGATTCAATTTGTGAATCCTAACTAAAAAAAGAAATGGTTAAACATGTCAGGGGTCCTCATAAATATGCCAACATTCAATTTTAGTTCCTCTAAAATTTTTCTTCAAACAATGGTCTTCACAAACTTTTCCGTCCCTAAAATTGGTCTTTGACATTAAATATCACTAACAAATGTTGATGTGGCAGTACATGTGGATTAAAAATATTATTTTTTAACTGATTTATTTTTCTAATTTGCTGTTGTTCACGTGTTTTCTATTCTCACTGTTGAAGAAAGGAATGCAAAGACTATCCTACCTTCACTTTTTAGATTTTTTGTCAAGCATTCTTGCTTCTCTTCACAGACCTGATCCCATTCTACCGTGAACAAGCCCTCCATGAACCTTCTGAACAAAATTTAAGGAAACATCAATGCTTCAGAGGTATAAACAAGCTAGAGACATGAAATGAAAGTTAATCTAAAAGACACACACAAACTAAAACATTTCAATTATGTTCACAACTCTTCATTGCCACCCATCATCTTGTTACAATTTAGAAATATTACTGAAAGATAATATAAGTATTTGAGGAGACTAGACTAAAACCCAAAGAAAAAGAATCAAGAGAATTAAGTTTTGGTATTCTTAAAAAAAAACTCACAAAAAAACTTAAAAGACTAAATAAAATAAAATAATACGAGTTAATGGAAAAAGAATTAAATTACAAAACATGACATAATATAAAGTAACTTTCATGAATTCTTTCAACAATTGCTTAAGGTCACCCAACGACTCTTCCGTACACATCTATATATACATTTGATTCAAAATAATTTGATTATGATGGTAACAAGTTCAGTTGGATTTTAAATCCCTAAAAATATGCTTCCACTTCTTTCAAATAATTCATTGCTAATTGCTAAAAGCGTACAACATAACTATGAAAGTAAAATTGCGTTGCAACTATAATAATTGCAACTATAACAAGCAATCCTCTACTGTAAAATCAGTAATAACTAGTAACAAATATAGTAATTCGCTGCATTGCTCGCAAATCAAATGAAAATAGGAATACATTATAGATAATAATTTGATATTTCAATATCAAATTCTCATGAAATATCATTCTCATTATTGTGAAGAAAGATACAACTACATACATTCTGCATATCTAAATCATTACATCTTAATTTCACTTCAGATATGAAAAGCAACTTCCATCTCTAGTTTATGTCTCTTAGTGCATTGCCAAAAGTATTTTCGCATGCTCAGCATGTTGCATAACATATGACTAAGGTGAAAGCGATGTCACTACTACTATCTTTCATAATTAACTAAAAATCACATCCTCTAAAGCTAACCAAAAATTCCATCAACAACATAATAATGCACTACCATAAATCATGGTTACAAACTAAATAATGAAGAATATATTTGACCATAGCTAATAATTTCATATGGTTGCTAACAACTATGAACAATAAATACTAAGCAAAGTAATAAAGAATCAATCTAAAACTGTAATTTGTATAGGACATAAACATTATCTTTGCTCCATCAAAATAAATGATTTTGATGAAAAAGTCAAATAACATGTATAATTAGTGCGATATATCTTCTTTTATTAAAGTGTAGAATTTGATTTTTTTAATTTAACAAAAGTATGCATTTTATTTAATAATAATATAAAGTTGTGTGTTTAGAATTATAATTAATAAGTAATTTAAATTTTTTTACTTTTCAAGCCAATGAATTACTATCACATGGTGGAAGGAGTTTGGTGGATCAAGTTGGTAAACTTTATATGAAAAATTAGGATGAAGAAAATCATTTCGCTAACTCGGATGAACCATCACTTTTTAGCCACCACTTTTTCCTGTTAAAATTGAAGAATGACTGAATCCAAATTCTTTTATGACATTCTGTTGCCAAATCCAAGTTTGTTCAAAAGGTTCATGGAAGTAGAATGGGGTTGGGTTTGTGAAGAGAAGTAATAACGCTTGATAGAAAATCTAGAAAGTGAAGGTATGACAGTGTTTACATTTTTTTCTTCAATAGTGAGAATAAAAAATACGTGTATTGGACAACAAAATAGAAAAATAAATTAATTAAAAAAAATATTTTTAATCTACATGTACTATCACGTTAGTATCTGTTAATGACATTTAATGTCAATGACTAATTTTAGAGAAGGAAAAATGTGAGGGTACTATTATTTAAAAAAAATTTTAAAAAAACTAAAATTAAATGTTAACATATTTATGATAACCAAAAATATATTTAATCCAAAAAGATGATGGATTCAATTTGTGAATCTAAATAAGAAAGGGAAAAGGTTTTTCTAAATTCACCAAAGGAATACTTGACCTCTATTTTGTGGGGATAAATACTAGACGTTTTATTTTTGATAAATAATTGGCCTTTTTTTGACATACAAAACAACATCGCTTAATTATTTTAAAAAATTCGTTTTTAAAAAAATTAAAAAAAAAACATTTTAAATTAACTGATCAAAATTAGAGAACTCAAACATTCTCTCTCTCTCTCTCGCCTTCCTTCCCAGGGCCACAACCCTCGCGCTGCCCCTCCGTATATCTCGGCGGTTCACAGGTATCTTCTTTAGTTTCTTCCTTCCATTGTTAACTAACTGATATTTCTTAGATCCGAATATATGGATTTTATTCAATATATGAATAGAATGTGTTTTTATTTACTCTTTAGAATCCATGAATCTTGCACACCAAGTGTTTGTGCCTATTCCCGTGTAAAAATAATTCAGACTATCCTATTGGATTTTGAATGTGAGTGTTCATAGAGAAGCTTTAATTGCTCTTGCTTGATTTAGTGGTCGTGCAGAGTTATTTCTATTGAGTTATTTCTTTAACTCAGCCAAATAATGAAATTCACAATCTTAGCAGAACACTAGTTATGTTAGTTAAAAGAGGATGAAAATCTCATGGTTATGGAAAGGTGGAAATATAAAATGAAGGAGAACATGGTCAGTGAATTTGAACAATGAGCCTGTGAAATTATCTTAATAATAATAGGCTTCATCAGTTTAGTAGAGACCGGGTATCCGGTTTAATTCCTATTCAAGCTTGTTGTAGAGTCGGGTCATCTAGCTTAATCGGTATGGTGCGGTTCAACTATTGAATCAGTGGTTTGACTAGTGACCCCTTGACGTTGCCGAGTTGGCGACGGCAGAGTAGTCAATAGTGGCGCTATCCCAGGCCAACCGCTATAGCGGCCACTATAGGGTAAATAGCAGAGTAAAATGGTTCCTGGTATGGAGCAGTTTCTGGCCCACAATCCTTTTCTCTTCTAAAAAACAAATTACCCCTTAAGTTTACAACGTTTTAAGGGTAATTTCAGGGTTTTCAATCTATTTTTTTTTTAGACTCAACCTTTTATACAATTTAAGAGTAATGCTTGCTTTGATTTATGAATATTTTATGAGTTGAGTTATTTGTTTAATTTTAAATTAAATGCACGTTTATAATTATTATATGTAATTTGTCCAAAAAATGATCAAATTGAGCAGTCATCCCACTATACATTATTCTGCTATCTCATTTTGGGAGTCGGCCGCTCTGTGCCACCATCCGGGAATGATTTACTCTGAATGACGGGACATTATGCCTACGATAAGTAGATGTAAAAGGGTTAATATTATTGTTATTTTTTCTCGTTCGGTTAACAGAGCCAAAGTGTTCTGGTTAGATTTCAACAAGTGAAGTAATAAATAAACATTCAGTCAAGGAAGCGATCACTTTATACCTCACTCTTACCTTTGCTTTGCCCTTGCAATTCAATCATATATTGCATATTGCACCCTTTTCCACTTTCCACTCTGACTTTATTGTATTATTATTCAATTGTTTAATTTGCATAAGGAACTGTTGTTTTTTTCCTGCATCAGTAAACCCACTGGTTCAAAAATCAATTATACATGTTTAATTTTGATATTCAGATATTCCTTTGGGATTATGACTTATGAATGAATCATTTATAGTCTTACTGTTAATTTCTGTTGCACTTTCTGGAATAAATTGTCAAATTTGTTTATTTGCTATCCTGAAAATTAGCTATGTCACACTTTGAAATTGTTTTGAGCTAGTGCACAAAAATTGATTTTGAATGAATAGATTATGTAAAGTTTATGTTTGGACACATTCACGTAAGTGTGAGTTGAACAATAAGTTTGAGGTTTGAAGTCAAAAGCTACAAAACCTAACTTCAAATTAAATCAATTTTAAAGGCAATATAAATTCCAATTGGCATTACTCAAACATGTCAAAATCAATGTTATGAGTTTGGAATCACTTTTATCTCTCGCTATCGTGAAACTAAACACACTGTCCAATGTTCAGCAGCTGAGTATTTTGTAATTATCTGCTTTGTTAAACCTTGCAATGTGGGTATCCTCCTGTTTAAATGATATGTGTTGTTCTTTTGCAGTTGATGTTTAAGTGCTAAGATGGAACAAGAAGCAGAACATCCTGTTCGAGTTCAAGGAGGGAGCTCAGATGGTTCGGAATCAGATCTAGTTAGTCGGGTAAGGAAGCTTCTGTTTCGCCGAATGTTGATTGGGATCAAAGATGGAAGATTCTTCTTGGGTAACTTCTATTGCATTGACAAGCAAGGGAATATTATTCTTCAGGATACCGTGGAGTATCGTAGCACTCGACGTTCGTCACCTTCTCCTATGGAACAGAGGTGCATTGGTCTTATTCTCATTCCTTCTTCTTGCCGCACGTCCTGTCATGTGGATTTATCTGTGGATGAACAATTGTCACTTCTATCATTTAATGAAAAATGAATACTTTTGGGGTTTCATCGTCAATGGAATTCAAGATTTTAGTATGCATGTGTTACGATATAGGATTGGGGCAGTTGCTTAGTTTTTCAGTCATTATAGATAAAAGTGCGTTTCTGACATTACGTAGGTGTTTTGGTGAATTTTTGTGGAGGTAAAAATAAAACCATGTTTCTGACATTACATAGGTTCTCTATATTGTTGTTGCTTTATTCATACCAATGCCTTCTTCTCCCCTCAAATCTTGTATTGTAATTTGTAAGCATCCTAAAATTCATGTTGCTTGTGTTGTAATTGAGATGTTGAGTTTCATCTATCAAGGTATCTTCAAAATTTAGTCGGATGAGAAATTGCTTGTATTTGGACTTGACTTGGCATATTGCTTATGAGTGCTCGATGAAGTTCATGTTTATGCTTGTGATAGGCCGAAAGGATCAAATTATATTGAGTTTGCATGACACACACAAATTAAACAAGATTGTTCGTTACACCACATGTCTTAGTTACACCCTATGTCTTACTCACACACCCAGCCAGAATTCCAAAAGTTCCAATAGATTTTTGATTTTAAAACCTGGATGCATCAAATACACACCGAACTCCCTGAAACACGTCAAATCAAAGATAAAAAATAAGTCTGGATTTTGGACTCCTCTGGGGCAGTCCCACCACATCACACACGAAGTTAATCTCCCATATGTTAAAAGGGTTTGTTCGAATTTCAAAAACTAAATTCTTCCTTAATATCACAAATTATTACAAACTCATTCTAATCCAACATGCAATAATGTTCTGGGGCCTATTAGAATTTTGAAATTCAAATTATACCATGTTATCATAAAATCAGAAGTAAATTTAGAGAGAGGATGAAGAAAAACATAATTTAACATAAATATTTGTTATCACATACACAAAATACGCAATATTACATAAATATTTGTTAACCTAAATCTAACATGACATTTCATCTTTAAGAAATGATTGAGTATGTTTCAACATTTTTAAAATATCATTGATTGATCTCGCAATTGTCATATCCATCTTGATTGAAACCTTTGTTGCTTAATAGTGAGATGTACTTCACATAACTCTTAAATCTTCATGCGTCTTCATCTCAAACTTGTTGAACTTCATCTTCTCTTTCGTTATTAATTAAGGGTGAACGATACTCGATCTTAACTACTATTTTGATTGTCTGAATAGTGCAGAAGATTCTACAGTCTGAATTTCAGATCTACGTGAAGGGTGTCCTATGTGAGCCTAAATTTAAAAGAAGGTCTCATGGTGTTGAAGTAAATAATTGTGATATACCAATATTTTTTCATTATCGTGTTTTTGTTTACAACATGAGGTATATTTATACTCATTTTAGAGTAATATGGATAATACAAAAACAATCTTGTCTCAGAGAACATTTCAGGAATTGAAATTCAGATTCAAATAGGTACAAATAAGGGTTTGTTCGAATATTGAGCTCCAGATGAGCCTTTTTACGTAAGAAATAACACACACAAAAAGAATTTGACAGGATATTGAAATTCGAATTTGCCCCTTACATAAGTTGTTTTAGCAAACAAACCACTTTTATTATACACATAAAACTTATGTTTTAACATAGAATATTTTGAATTTATTTTTTATACAAGTAATGTTAGATATACATTAAAACACATCAAAATGTATTTGAATTCTGTTGTTGAAATAATAATTCAACATCTACCATATAAGAAAAAAATACGTTTTGGAAAAGATTCCTTTGTCCCTTCTTCTACATCTGATAACACATCATTTTAGGGGGTAAATTGAGTCTTTTTGCACAATATCTTAACAATCCAACCATTTAGTTTCTATGCTTCTCTCACTATACAGTATTTTGCACTTCCCTCTCAATAAGATGTGCACGTATGGTTACTCTCTTCTTCTATTCACATCCAACTTTTCTATAGTCATCACATCTGCACAGTCCCCAACCTCATGTCTAATCCAATTGGGCTTGAGTACTTCCCACCTTCTACCTTTTCCTACCCACTTTCACTTCAAAATTTTCGATTCATCACTTCTCTCTGGCTTCAATTTTGGTAAAACCATCTCCATCTTTTCCAGACTCTCATTTGATTGAACATGGCTAGACCATTCGAGATGATAAACGACATCAATGACTGTAAAAAACTATGGAAGATAGTTGTAAAAATCCACCACAAATAGAAGGTTTCTTCAATTGTAAAGGAGCATTTTGAAATGGTGGTTGTAGACAAACATGTGAGTTTAAATTGTCTTTCTGTCATTTGTCTTCAATATATGGGAAACTTGATTTTTTTATGTTCGCTTTTGATGTTTGTGTTGACTTTTGATGTTTATGATTTGAAGTTTGTGGTTCTATATATGTTTTTTGGTGTTCGCTAATTTGGTCGCATATTTTGTGGTTTTGGGAGACCTGCTTTATAACTATTGTACTACTTTTGGATCACATTTAAGTATGATGTCACTTTTAAACACAATCGTTATAATTTTGAATTTTTACTGTATTTAATGTAGTCAACCACAATTGTATTACAACAACGTAAGTTTTTGATATCGTCTATCTGGTTGGGACCCAATATATGTTTATTTTGAAGGTGAGAAAATACTTAGAAGGGGGGTTGAATAAGTATGAAGATAAAAACTTAGAAATAAAAACTCAAGTATTTTTATCCTGATTCGTTGAACTCAACTACTCCAATCCACCCTTCCTAGAGTGATTTGTCTTTCTCAAACAAGGACTTAATCCACTATTTAATCAACTGATTACAATAGTAAGCACTAAGAACAACTATTCAAAGTCTTCTCAAGAACTACTGATCCTAACTGGATCTTCTTAAGGTTTTCTTACAATCAAATGTAATAACAAATACAAGTGTTAAAATGCTTATAATAAAGCTTTATCACAACAGTGATTTTTCACTTAAGATTAAGAACAAAGAAATTAATTCTAGAAAGAATATGAGTTGTATGAGAGCTTTGATAATAATTTCTTTTCAAGTAAAACATCAACTGAAGAAGATGAGTGGAGACTTTCTTTTATAGGCACAGTGGTCCATGAGCTTTCCACGTTGAGAAGTGTGTACCAAAAGGTCTGAGCCTTTTTGTCTTCACATCAAGTGACCTTTCCTAGAAGAAGAAAGCACAGAGAAATCCTTTTTGTCTGTGTTCTTGTGTCTAGCATAAATAAGGAAAGAGTCGTTTGGATATTCCAACAGACATAATCTTTGAATTCTTCTTCAACAATTTTCAGCAAGAATCATCAGAGTCTAATTTGATCAGAGCCTTCTGATGTTGATCAGAGTTTTGCTGAATCAGAGTCTTTGCAGCAAGTGTGCTTTTAGCGTGTATAAGTTTAGAGCAGAGTTTTGAGACAGATCCTCAGTACTGGCAGCGTTAGTACTTTCAGAGTCTTCTGAATTAACTATGCTTGAAAACTCTTCATACAAAATTCTTCTTTGGTTCAGATGCTTCTGACTTGCTTCAGATTCTTCTGGAGCTTCTGCTTCAGATCCTTCTGGAGCTTCTGTTTCAGATCCTTCTGGAGCTTCTGCTTCAGATCCTTCTGGAGGCTACGCTCAGGATCTTCTGATGGCAGCGTTCATAATCTTCTAATGGGTGCATCTGACGCTTCAGAGCTTTACATATTTCTTATGCTCAAATCTGATTTGCTTCTGGAGTGATATTTACTTTAATATCTGCAGCAAACATTCTTAAGCAAATTTTAGAGTATATAATTCTTAATTACAAAATTTCATAATAGTTATCATCAAAACATAGAGATATTATTAAGAACCAATCTGTGTTCTAACAATCTCCCCCTTTTTGATGATGACAAAAACATCAGAAATTTTGTTTAATTGAAAATAGAATAATTATAACTCCCCCTGAGATGATGAATCTCCCCCTGAATTAAATATAAATAAGGAATAGAAACTTCCCTTTTGTCTTGAGTATTTTTCAGAGTTAGAGCTTGATTGTTCTTAACCATTTGAGGGTCAGAGTGTCTTGCATATTTCAGAGTCAGAGTCTGATAATTGTCAAATGATCTGAGAGTCTCAGATTTTCTTTTACAGAGTATACTTATCAAATGTTCTGAAATACTCAGATTTTATGTTAGATAAAATTGATATGTCTGAAGTTTCATTCTGGTAAAGTTTAATTAAACAGTTCAGATCTATTTTCTCCCCCTTTTTTGTCATAAGCAAAAAGTAAGAATTTTGAAAAGACAAAGAAAAGGAAACAATAAATGAGATAAATCATGTGGAGAAAACTTTGAAACAATCATTCATTCATTCAGAGCAAAAGTACATACAACAGAAAATATTCAAGTACATATGCAAACATTAGATGCAAACATCAGAAGAAAAAAAATGAATAAACTAAGATTGTTTTGACAAAAGCATCTTCAACAGATCCGTGATCTCAGAAGAAGACTGTTCTTGTTTTGACATCCATTTTGCCATAGTTTCATTCTTCTGATCTTGTTTGGACATCCACTGAGCCATGTCTTCAGACTTCTTGTCTTGCTTAGCCATCCATGACTTGATTTCTGGTTGACCAGCTTCCAGAACTGCAATCTTATCTTCAAGATCTGGATACTCTTTCTTAATCTCAGATGAAGAAGGTGGGACAGTTTCTGAAGCTTGAACAGAGTCAATTTCCATATGAGCTTTGGAGTTAGGAGCAGTAGATCCAGAAGGATGTTCTATCAGAGTCATAGCAAGAGGGCTGTCTTCAGATGTAGATTCAATATTCTCTTCTGATGATGAAGGAACATCTGTAAGAAGCAATGGTCCAGATCTCTTAACAGTCCAGAACAGACTTCTAGCAGTTTCAGCAAATCTGAGCTTCACATCATCAGAACATACGTTCTTCAGATTTGATGCTACAGTATTGAATCTGTTTATGAAGCCATTCCAAATGGCATCAGATTCACTGGCATCCATTGTTGATGAACACTTCCTCTGTACAGATCCTAAATA